GAGTGGTTGGGCCAAAGACGTGCTCATTTGTAGTTGAACAGGCAGGGAATGTGCCTTCCCTAAGGGGTCCAATGTTATGGAGGTCAGATCATCTATTCAGGGGCATTCACAACCACAGTAGCAATAGATACTTTACGAGGTGCTTCACAATGATTGTTTCATTTAATCCTCATGACTCTGAGAGAGAAGTATACCAGTTTTCCGTATGAGGAAACTGAAGCCAAAGAATTTGCCCAAAGCTTCACAGTTTGTAACTGGCAGAGGCAGGATTTGAACCAAGGTCTATCAACCCTTAAAATCCCTGAGTTCATAAATGATCCCCTTTTTTCAACAATCTGGAGGGTTTACCAGATCCTCTTTTCTTTCCCTATTACCACCCCATTCCTCAGGAACTCCCTCCTGGACTGTTTTCAGAAAGTCCAAAGCCAAGTGAACCCATCAAAGAAGCTCAGCACAAAGGTCCCATACTCCTCTGAAAGAAATTGTAGCACTTAGGACTGGAAATATAGTTCAAGCGGTACAGTGCCCGCCTAGCAAGCACGAAGCCCTGAGACCAAATCTGTACTGCTCCCTCCCTACTCCCCCACCCCAAAACAAATTATGGTAGTTTGTAGTATTGACTTTTTCCTTTTCCTTTACAGATATATTATCATTCCATTTTACAAGAAAGAAAACTTGGTTATAGAAAAATAATTTGTCTAAAACTGCACACTTTGTAGGTAGAGGAAATGTAATTTCTGATCACATCTGCTGTTCTCCCTTGCTAATCTCAAATGTCCCAGAAATTCTCATATTTGCATTTCTAAACCATGATCCCTCCCCCAGATGACTCACCCTTTTGGAGTTTTGTTTAGGAAAACAAGGTCAAAGGCAAAAAGTTTTGGAAATCTGGACTCTCCCAGGAATGGGCCTGTACTCCTTGTCTTTCTTTAGCAATGAATTTCTTCAGCTATTGGTGCCCTTGCAGGAGTGATGGCTGGGCCCCTAGGTCAGCTGGGCTGACTGCAGCTAAGAGAGAGTACAGCCCTTTCTGAGTGAGCAGACATAAAAGCTACAGAAGCAAGTTGGCTGCTGTTATGTTTTATTTATTTTTGTTTGTTTGTTTGCTTTAGCAGTAGCTGTAATGGGGAGGGCAGGACTCAGAGAAGAGATGCCTCAGAGACACAAATGGGCCCACTAAGTTTCCTCCACACTGTCTTCTTTCCCTGTGGCTTAGCTTCTGCCTTGTGTTCTGCCCGAGGCCTCGACTCAGTAAGCACTACAGCTCAGCACAGCCATTTCTAATGCTCCGTACACTTTGTGACATCTGTGAGTGCTTCCAGCAGATATTAAATGAGTATTTCCAGCAGGCAGAGTAAAGAGGAGCTAGTCCCCACAGAGCCACCAACCCTTCACTGATCTCTTCCTTTGCCTTTCTTCAGAGCCAGGCTGCTGGTGAACCTGTCAGCAAGGAAATAGTCATGACTCATATAATCTCTTTTTTGGTCATTCATGAACAATATTCCCAAGCTAGACTCCCAGAAACATCTACCATGCATTTGCCTTTAACTACCTGGTCATGTGCAACCAAAAGAAGCGCCACCGGCAATCAAAACTTCATCATGGTTTTGACTGCTACTTATTAAGAATGAATATTTCACACAGTCATCAATTTATTTGCTATCCTATAAAAATATTAGCAGCTTCAATAAGTGTCAAGAATTTAACTCAGGTTGTAGTTGCTTCATCTACACTGGATTTCCTGCTTGTTTTCTTTTTATTTATTTATTTTTTGGCAGTCCTGGGGTTTGAACTCAAGGCTTTCAGATTTGCTAGGTAGGAGTTCTACTGCTTGAGCCACACCTCCAGTCCCTGGATTGCTTTCTTTACAATGTTGGGAAATAAACAGAGAGCACTCACTTGAGAGCTAATCTCTAGGAAGACACATCTGTCACTGGGGTCTGTCTGAGAGTTGAGGGCATTCAGATGACTACCTGGTTGTGCAGTAACTTCTCAAAGGTGACATCTTTGAAAAAATGGCATTAAATGATGCATGCCAACCCTCTGATCTGACCTCTGTGATCTGATCATGGAGTGAAAGTGTCTGCTTATGGACCATTGGCTGCATAAGAGAAGAAAATGCACTACCGTCACACATTCTGCATTTCTGGAATGGTTCCTGTGCAGTATATTGTTATTTTTTCCAGTAAAAGTTATTCACAAGATGTGGAAATGAGGTTTGTCTTCAAACAGAGGGAAAAAAAAACCATACACATAAAAAAATGTAATTTTCTTTGACTCTTTGGTTGCATTTTTTGGTTTAGGTGGACCCAAGTCTAACAGTGAGGCAAGCTAAAGTAGGGCAAGTTCTGGACTCATAGAAAAAAAAAGTTACATCTTAGATTAACCATGCTTTGGCTCAGGAACCACTCTCACCTGGCTGGGACTTACCCCTCCCCTTCCCACTCATTGATTATTGAATGAGAACCACCTGGTCTGCCCCTCCCCATAGGTTATCATAGGTTTTAAGAGCACCAGAAGGCGAAAACATGCTCTCTCAGTTTGTGGCTTCTACCTGGGCCCCACTGTGCTTCCCTTTGTATTTCTCATCCCTAACTTTTAATAATCTCTCTTCACACTCACGTGTCCTGCCATGAATTCTTTCTGGTGGGATACGAAGAATTTGGAATTCTGATCACAGATTGCACCAGCACCTTTAACAGCAGGTTAAGGGAGCACTTAATGGAGATTCAGGTGGATCAGGGTGATTTGGGTGGCCAGGAGCGGCTGCTGAGCTCTGTGAATGAAGCAGGCTCAGTCACACAGGTTAAGGGTCATTAGAATGACATCACTGCAGAGAGGATGGGGGTCATGTCAGGCACAGGGAACCTAAGGGCCCCCTCCCTCAGCTGACTTTGATCTGGCACTCTGCTCTTGGCGTTTTTTTTTACAGTGGCCACTAACAACTAGTCCCACCCTTAAAAATGACTTTTGCTATTTGGTAAAATACATGTAGGAGGGAAGAGATGAGAGAATAAAGACCAGCCAGGCTATGCTCACATCAGATTTTAGGATCTGTTTTATACTTAAATACAAACCAATATTCTGACCATCTGGCCTTTCTAGGAACACACATGGAGAGAGAGAGGAGGGAGCTCCTTGCATCACAAGTAAATAAACTTCAAAGGTTTGATGATAGTATTGAAGAGCAGCTCAAGGCTACATTTGGAAAACAGGAATAATAGGAAGTAAGGTCAAAGAAACCTTTGAACAGAGATGCAGAATATACATTTTGAAAAGCAAGGCAGTCACAGTAAACACACTTCCGAGAAGACTAAAATAAGTGTTTTTGATCCAAAGGGCAAAGGGCAGGAAGGCGTTGAAAGATAAAACATTAAGTATTTATTAGTTCCGTTAATTGATTTCAGGTTCTGGAGGTGCCTCTTTCTCTCACCATCCCCCCACCACCACCTTTTCATGTATCAATCCACACCTTGATAGCTACTTATTAAATTATGACTTTATTGTCCCAAGAATTATAATTGTGACTGTCATGGTAAGAGACACTGGGAGGTGAAAATGGTGAGAGGCAGGGCAAGAGGCCCTCTAGGTTTGCCGACTAGAGCTGTAAACAAGGTAAATCCTTAGGATCTTAACCTCCTATTTTCAAATAGGTTTATTCTTCAGAGAAGTTGTAGGCTCACAGCAAAATTAAGTGGAAGGTACAGAAGACTTCCACATATGCTGTGCTTCTCACCTAGGCACAGCCTTCCCTACCATCCTTGTATCCACGGATTAGTATTACAACCAAAGACTTACACTGGCACATCATTGCCACCCAGAACCCATCCTTTACATGAAAGTTCACTTCAACTCCAAGGACTAGTGCTCACAGAAGGCTGGCTGGAAGTGATGGAGACTTAGCGTGTTTCCACTTCCCTTTGCAAAGCCCTTACGCTCCCGTAGCCTCTCTGTGCCCACGTCCTAAGGCACAGCATTTCTCCCATTTCTGACCTGTATTGCCAAGGTAGCATGCCAGATGTTTCTATTGGTTCCCAGCTCTCCACACACCAGAACTTTCTATTACATCTCTTTTTCCTGAGAAGTTCCAAGATTTTCAAGGTCACATCTAGTTATTTATACACAGATGTGGTCTAAGGTGCTAATAAGGCAAGAGAAAGCTGTGGGAGACAGGCTCACCCAAAGGAAGGGCGCTCACATCCTGCAAATTTCAAGGAGCAGGTTTGGGCAGGCCAAAGGGATAGAAATTTCTGGGCTGGGTGGTTTAAAGTGCCTCTCAAACCATTTCGGGTAGGAGGGCCACCTGCTCTTACCTATGTGAAGAATGAACCCCGAGTCACTTGTAGCTATCATTTTCTTCACTATTTCAGACTTGAAAAGCAAGGAATGGGATTGTCTGGGAAGTCCCTTCCTCTCCTTCCCTCTCCCCTCCCTTCTCTCACCTTTCCTCCCTTCCTTCCATTATCGAGATGAAACAACTACGCAATTCAGGTCTCCTGGGATTATAGACTTCAGGCAATGGTGTACTGATGAAGTTTCATAATTGGCTCTCTAAAAATAAAAAGAAAGTTTATGAGTTTATCATGGGCTTGAGTGCCGTAAAAAGTGTGAGGCATACAGTTTACTACTAGTACTAAAAATATACAATGTACTTTATTATAAACTCCATATTGCCAATTTACTCTCACAAAATGCTTGTATTGATTTTTTTGTATAAAACTGCATCTTCTTTATTTTGCATACTTTAATTTCAGAATAAAATAAACAAAAATACATTACATAACACCCAACCCTGCTGTCAAAATGAGAGAGGTGCCAGGACTGTTGGCCCTCCTTTCCTGCCTTACACACAGGACAGGAGGAAGAAAAAACAAAAACAAACACAAAATACTAGGCATCAGCAGAGGGAGCCAGGCAGGACAGGGCCATTCAGGGCTGCTATGGAGTCATGGGGACACTATACAGAGGGCACAGGTTTCCAAATGGGAATTGGAACACGCCTAATCTATTTCTTCCATGCCAGAGGCAGGTGGGGGGATCTCGTCAGGAACAGCAGTGCTGGGTTCCTCAGGTGTCACTTCATTCTCATCAATGCCCAGGCCTAGCTTGATCATGTGGTAGATGCAGTTGGAGTGGGTCTGGGGGGTCCTCAAGGAAAAAGCCAGAAGAAAGCAGCGCAGTTTCAAACCAGAGCACCACCAGGTCCGTGACAGCCTTGTCATTTTTGTCTGCCTCAGCCTTCTGCCTCAGTGTCTCCATAATGGGGTGGTCAGGATTCCCCTCCAGGTGCTTTTTGGCCATCATTTACCCACTGTAGAGTTGTCTCTAAATGCCTGGACCTTCATGATCCATTCCATGTTGGCTGTCCAGTCATAGGTGCTGGTCACAATGCAGCAGGGAGAAGACACAAGCCTATTGGAGATTGTCACCTTCTCAACCTTCTTATCCAAGATTTCTTTCATGAGCTTGCAGAGAT